TGTGTGTATGTACGCGTGCATGCATGTATGCATGCATTGATCATGTGTGCCTGTGTGTAGGTACGTATGTATGTATGTATGCTTGTGCGCGTATGTATGTATTTAGTTTGTATGTATGTTTGTATGTGTGTATGATAATATGTGTGTATGTGTGTGAATGTAAGTATGTATGTCTGGAAGATTGTTTTTCTATGTATGCAAATGTGTTTAAATGTAGGTATGTATGCATGTGTGTATGGATGTGCGTTTGAAGAGCGAGGATGTTTCAAAGAAGAGGCACTCGGTGACGCGATCGTTGAGGGATAGGAGTGAGGTCGCAGAGGAGGAGGAGGAGAATGAGGAAGAGGCGATAACTTGAAGGAAAACGATGAGACGGAGGACATCCTGCCGGTGGCGCCCTGGGCGGTGCCGCGGAAGAAACCGGGGGCCTGCCGGAGGCAGTCTGGAGGCCTCTGGGGAGCTGTTTTGGGGCCTCTTGGAACCTCTTTTGGGCCTCTTGTGGGCTTCTTGGGGCCCCTTGGGGGTCTCTTGGGGCCTCCTGGGGGCCTCTTGGGGCGGAAAGCTCGGTTCTTTCGGTTCGTGGTCCCCCTCTTGGGCCCCTCTTGGGGCTCTCTTGGGGCCTTCTTGGGCTGTCCAGAGGCCCTCTTGGGCCGTCTTGGGGCCCTCTTGGGCCGTCTTGGGGCTCTCTTGGGCCGTGTTGGAAGCATCGTGGGCCGTCTTGGGACGGACTTGGGGGCCTCTTGGGCCGTCTTCGAGCGTCGGACGCCCGAAAAGGCAAGAACGCTAAAAACCCTGAGAAAACCAATGAAAATCAACGATTCTGGCCTCTTGGGGCCCTCTTGGGAGGCCTCTTGGAAGCTTCTTGGGGCGTCTTGGAGACACCTTGGGCCGTCTGGAGGCCATCTCGGGCGTCTTGGAGCGATTTTTCGGCGACTCGGGGCCCTCTTGGAACCCCTTGGGGGTCTCTTGGGCCCCCCCCCTCCTCCAAAGCGCCGGAAAAAGCGGAGCATGGCGCCCCCCCCCCCCCTATCTTCCACTCCCCCGGAGCGGCCCCGGGGTTCGCCGGAAACTCGCACCCCCCCCCCCCCCCCCCACCCCCCCTTCCCCGGCAGAGCCACCCCGGCGACCCCCCCAGAGGCTGAAGCTCAGCCTCGAGGCTGTAGCTGAGACTCCTTGAAACTCACACGCCGGATCGGCGGATTCAGGAATCGCGCTCTCGCTTGGGACAGCCTTGCAATTTATGCAGGAATCGCTCCCCCGGCGCTCTGGAGTCGCGCTCTCGCTGGAGACTTGCTTGCAATTTGCTGAAGAATAGCGCCCTTGCGTGTTTTTTTGCAATTTGCTCAAGCGCCGCGCTCCCGACACCTACGCACCCAGGAGTCGCGCCCATTGTGGCCCCATGTGCATGCCCTTCGTGGCCCCGCTGTCGCCGTTTGCGGCCCCCTCATTGTCCTACGTGGCCCAGTTGCTACCCTCAGGGGCCCCATCGTTGCCTTCTGTGGCCCCGCATTATCTGCCCTTCGTGGCCCCCGCTCATTCGCGCTCTTCGTGGTCCCATGCGCATTCCCTTCGTGTCCCCGCTGTCGCCCTTCGTGGCCTACTTCGTGTCCTTCGTGGGCCTGCTGTCGTTCTCTCTCGCTCTCGTTTTCGCTCGACGTCGCCGACGTCGTCGTCGCTGTCGTCGTCGACGTCGTCGTCGTGGTCGGTCCCCTGTCCGTCCCTCTTGGGGTCGGGTCGATGGTCCGCGGCCGCCCCGCCGATCAGAGCTGCCACTGGCCAGGCCGACGGTCCGCGGCCACCCCGCCGCTTGGCGGGGAACCGCCTGCAGGGAAGAAAGGTATACCCCCCCAAAGAGGTTCGATCGATGACGAAGAGGGCGGGTATCGAGGGTTTGGGAACTACGCGTTATTGGGCACTCGAACAGATAAGGGCGTTCAGTCTTAAAATGATTGTTACTGTTGTTGCTGGTGTTGTTTTTGGTGTTGTTGTTGTTGTTGTGCTGTTGGTGCTGCTGTTGTTGTTGTTGTTGATGTTGTTGTTGCTGCTGCTGTTGTTGTTGTTTTTGTTGTTGTGGTTGTCGTTGCTGTTGGTGTTGTGGTTGTTGTGGCTGTTGTTGTTGTTGTTGTTGGTGTTGTTGTTGTTGTTGTTGTTGTTGTTGTTGTTGTTGTTGTTGTTGTTTGGTGTTGTGTGTTGTTTGCTGTTTGTTGTTTGGTGTTGTTGTTGCTGTTATTGTTATTGTTATTGCTGTTGGTGTTGCTGTGGTTGTTGTTGTTGATGTTGGTGTTGTTGTTGATGTTGTTGTTGTTGTTTGTGTTGTTGTTGGTGTTGTTGGTGTTGTTGTTGTTGTTGTTGTTGTTGTTATTATTGTTCTTGTTGCTGTTGTTCTTATTATTATTATTGTTGTTGTTGTTGTTGTTGTTTGTTGTCGTTGTCCCCCAGCGGCCTGGTTCGCGACCCACCCGCGGCCCACCCCGCGACCCACCCGCGACCCACCCCGCGACCCGCTCGCGGCCCACCCGCGACCCACCCGCGACCCACCCGCGACCTGGCCCGCGACCCACCCGCGACCTGGCCCGCGATCCACCCACGACCCACCGTCGACCCACCCGCGACCCATCTGCGACCCAACCCGCGACCCACCCACATTGTTTGAACTCAAAATCGGCGCCGGCGGCGGGCTCGTTGTATAGCTTGAAATTTTGCGCCTGCGGCGGGCTTCTTCAGAGCCTCGCAGACTGCAGACGTCCCCGCCGCCCCCTCACTCTTATCCGCAACTGCGGGGTGCTACGTAAGTTACCAATCGTTGAGATCGGACGTGCGAGAATGGCCATGTGCGAGAGAGGTGGAAACACACGGGCGCGTTGCCGGGGTAGAGAGGAGAGCCGTATTCCTATTGGATTCTCCCAGCTGTCGGCGGCAAATCCGGACACCGCGTGAGGGCTGTAGCGCAGGGTGAAGGAGGTTGGCTTACATACGCATCTTGGAGCTTTCCTGGGGCTATATGAGGGCATCTTGGGACCCGTTTGGATCCGTTTGGGAGGCCTCTGATTGTCTGTAGGGGGACTTGGAAGGCTTCTTGAGGGTTTCTTGAGTATCTCGGGGGCTTCTTGGGGGCCTCTCGGGGCCTCTCGCGGGCGCGCCGGGGGTCTTCGAGGCAGTCCTGCAGGAGCGGGCTGTCAAGGCCAGCTCGATGTCCCTCTCGTAGGCCCCTCTTGGGGCCTTTTTGGGGGGCCTCCTGGGTCGTCTCGGTGCCTTTTTGAGGGCTTTCTGGGGCCGTCTTGGAGCCCCCCTGGGCCGTCTTGGGAGCCTTTTGGGCCGCCTTTGGTTTTCGGAAGCCAGAAAGGACCAGCAGGTTAAAATGTGCCACCGCCCAACAGACAAGCGTTGTTTTCTGTTCTCCATGGCCTCTTGGGCGTCCGCTAGAGGCACTTTTTGGCCAAATTGATGTCCTTACAATACTTATTGTCATTGCGGGAAGCGCCACATCGGAAGACAACCATTTGAACATCCATCCTTGAGCGTACCAAGAACCGTTCTTCAGATTCCAAATCCGCGAATCATTATGATTGTCGTGTCCTGGCTATCCCAAGTCGCACCAGCACGCCATTCATGAGACTTCCCACGCCGCGAATCACGTCCTCGGTTGCGTCCTGTCAATCGGGAACCGTTGGAGAAAGCCGCTCCTTGGACTTCAACCATACGGATCCTTCAAACAGTTGGCAGCGTTTGAGACGAATGCGATCGTTTTTTATTCATTGTTTTGCCGATCGGCGCGGGCCCTCGCACCCCCTCCTTCCCCCCCGTGGTGTAGATCTTGGCTGTTTCTGGCGCTTATTTCGAGCAGGTGGAGTCTCCCCCCTAGGACGCACGATTCCAACCAGTCGCATCAAGTAGAGGTCCAGAGACAGACCCCCCCTACCCCCCTTCCGCCCAATGTCGACACGCCGAATAAGGAAACGCTCACGAGACGAATGCCCGCGGTGTTGAGGCGAGGACCACACTTTGAGGAAGATCCACCATTCATCTTGAAGGTGCTGCAGACTTGAGACGAACGTGCGCGGCCTTAGCCCGCGCGGCGCTAGGGCGAGAGCTCCACATGTCAAAACCACCCGCCCTCCATCCTTGGAGCCTCTGCACATGCCAAGCTTCAGGATCATGCGAAGCTGCTGCGCATTCCCTGAAGCTCTCCAGGCCCTCCAACTGTTGCACATTCCTCCTTGGAGCTGCTGCACAGAGGGTCTGAGGCGAAACGCCCGGCCCGCCCCACCGACACGCCTGGGGGTGCGACTGGGAGGAGCCATGAGGGAGCCGGATGGAGGGGGAGGATCAAGACTTGGCAAAGGGCGCGAGCACGAACGAGGAGGAAGGATTGGCTTGCGGAGGGAGGAAGGACAAAGGGGCAGGAGGTGGGGGGGTGGGGCATGTGTTTTGTGTCTGAGAGAGAGAGAGAACGATAGAGATACAAGTAGCGAAGGATAGAGAGGGAGAGAGAGAGAGAGACATCGAAAAGCACATCTCGAGAGAGAGAAGAAACGGAGCGAGAGACAGAGACAAGGACAGAGAAGGGTCGTGATAGAGAGGGGGTGAAAGAGAGACAAAGAGACAGAGAGGGATATCCATCCTTCTGATTTACATATCGGCTGATTTTTACATTTCTATATCTACAGATAAAGCAGGGGCGAGAAAGAGAAGACACACGAGAAGCACCACCAGCAAGAGGGAACATAGACACACCTACATACATACATATATATATATATATATATACATACGCATGTAAAGAGAGGGACACATCACACGCGACACATGCGTATAGTTCGATGTGCTTATCGATACTACAGAAAGAGTGTGAACAAGAGAGGGAGGGAGAGAGAAAGGGGGAGAGAGAGAGAGAGGGAAAGAGAGAGCGAGAGACTGGAGAAGGGAGGGGGGATGAGTGATGAGGGACGACGGAGGAGCGGAGGAGAGAGGCGGGGACCGAAGCATCGTTGCCTCCGTTCAGGCCTGGGGTCTGAAGGAGGCGGCCGAGAAGGAGGAGGCCGCGGAGTTGGGAAAAGACAAGGCGCGCAAGTCGCAAGAGAAGGACGAGTTCGAGGCGCCGCTCGGTCCCCACGACGGTGGAGCTTTGACGATGACGCCGTCGGAGCCGCTGTGAAGTGCTAGACGCAGTTGGCGACGTCTTTAGCTCGCGCGCGTGCGCCATTCATCGGATGCGAACGCTGCCTAAGCATCTCAAACCGCGCGCCACAGGGACAGGCGGTGGGCGGAGTCGGAGGCGGCCCACAGCCCGACTGGTCATCAAGAGCCCTCCCGCACCCCTGTTGGCACCCGCGTTTCTGAGGTGGCTTGAGGAGCGTGAGCCAGTCTCTGACGTCGTGCCCAGCCAGGTTGCACTTGGTAACTCCAGAATCCGCTTCTTCGTCCCCCGAGCGGACCCCCGCATCCGGAACCTGTGGTAACCCCGCTGGGCCGCCTCCTCGACCTCCTCCTGATCCGTACAGGTCCCCCGAGCTGCCGCACCGAAATGCGAAAGGGAGGAAGCCGTGACACGCTGGCGGGCGCGAGCCGTGAGTGACACGCTTGAGGTCTGAGGGATGCCCGTACATTCTCTATACTTGTTTCCGTCGGAAGCCAGGCAGGGGTCGTCTGGCGCTGGCGGAAAGAAGTACCTAAACGGGGGCACCGTTGTAGTGAATTGGCCAGCATGCAAGAGGGGGAACACAGGACAGCGGGCGTCCGCGGGGAGGAGGAAGGGCGATGGCCACTCAGGGGGGACGATCCACTTCCCTGGGTGAGCTGGCGCGGTCGGCCCCGCCGGCGTCTATGTTCTAAACATGCGGCCAGATGAAGTACGCGTGTGTACTCGTTGGGGGGAAGATTACTATGCGCCCTAGGGTGGCGATCCGCCCTGCTGTGTAGCTTGCCCCCCCTTGTCACACTGAAGGGGGCGATCCGTCCTACTGTGGAGGAGGTCCACCCTGGTAACCCCAGGGTGGCGATCCGTCCTGCAGTGGATCAGGCCCCTTCCGTCGCCCTTAGGGTTGGACTGGCCTTCCTTTTTGTTACCCCAAGTCGCCCCTGAGGAGCAGGTGGTGCCCCCTGTCTGCTCAGCGGTGGCGACCCGCACTGCTGCAAGGAGTGGCAACCAGGCTGCCGCGGCGCATGCCCCACTGTCACTCTTACTGCTGTGGTGCCGGTCTCTCTTACCTCCCCCAGGGCGGCACCCCGTCCTGCCGATGAGCAGGCTTCCCCTGCCAGGGAGGTGGTCAGCCTCTCGGTTGCCCCAAATAGCCTCACGCTGGAGCGGACTGCCGCTGCCTCGCCGCCGACGGACAAACTCTAGGGGAGGTGGTGGACATTCGCCTCGCTGTGTATGCCCTGCACCCCGCCGTGCGGGGGAGGAGGAGGAGGAGGAGGAGGAGGCGGAGGAGGAGGAGGAGGAGGAGGAGGAGGAGGAGGAGGAGGATCAACAAAAGGACTCATTTCGTGTTCAAAGTGCGGCCTCCGCTCCCCCGCGCCTCCCTCCTCTCTCTCTTGGCTCTTCCCTGGTGTCGCACTCGCCTGCCGCGCATCATCCACGCCCTGCTTGGTGACCGGGTCTTGGCTCCATGTCGCCGCCGACACGATAGGCAATGAAGGAGGCGTGACATAAGCAAAATAACTCGGGGGTCTGTGCGAATTTCTCGGATCGGCGCTGGATACCCCCCGGTGTCGCCTCCGGCGCTGCCCCTGGCGCGCTCCGCGAGCCAAGGGAGGGGGGCCCAGCGCGGATCCAAGAAATCTGCGCGGAGCGCCACAAGTTTATGTTTATGGCGTTTTTTCTTATTATAGTCTTGGTTCCATGTCGCCGCCGACACAAAAAGTGAGGAAGGTGGCGATATGGGATTCCGTGGTTTTCGCCCCCCCGTCACTCCTGCGGTGGTGCCCACCTGAGGCACAAACTTCCAGGACACAGCCTGGCGGCAACGTCGGAGGCCCTGCAGGCGCACCCGCCGAATGATTTTTTTTCCTGGACGCAGCTCGGCGGCAATGACGGCGGGTCTGCGTAATCTTGCATTTTTAAATAGAGATGACTGTCAGAGGGATGTGCATTGCACATGCCATCCACCACAGACAATGTGTTTACAACGGTCATCCGAGCAGTTTATGGAATCTGGATATTTTCTGATTGTTTCATCCGATTTTCACAACCCCCTTTTTCAAAGATGGCAGAGCCCATGCTCCCCACCCGGCTCGCTTGGGAAACCGACCTCCAAACGCGCGCGCTAGCATCACTTAGTAGTGCATTGCAGTCCTCCGTGGCCCCCCTCCCTGTCTATCCTCCTCCTCTTCCTTTTCCGTCCTTACCATCAGCTCCCACAGCCCATCTGGCTCAACCACAGCCTTGGTGCTTATTTGCACAAGCGAGGGCATCTCGGAGTGCAGGACGCAGAGGGTTACCCATGGTCTTTACTAGCAGCGACAAGCTTTGACCATGAGGCCGATGCGGCGAGGGAGCGCACCAAAAACGAGCCTAAACAAGACCAAGGAAGAGGAAACCAGTGGAAGTGGGTGTGCGTCAACTGCGAGTTGGCCTTCAGGCGCGAGGAATGGACCGGGTGGGGCGACGAGGAGAAGCTTCGCCATGGAGGAGAGAAGTGGATCACACAAAAAACAAGTGTGCTGTGAGCAGAAGCGGCGCGCAAAGGGTTTAGCGTGGACGGCTCAGTCCTTGGGGCAAATCCAGGTAGCGAAGGCGATCATCGACGCGGAGGTACAACCGAAGAAGAAGTCGCGCAATCAGAGAAACAAGAAGGTCCTCGAGCGGTCCAAGGAGGTGTCGAAGACCGCGGTGGACGGCATCAAGAAGAACGAGGGCATCTTCGCGGCCTTCAGCAAGGCAGGGGAAAATATTAAGATCGCCTTGAAATGCGCGGAGGAGTACGGGGAAGCATTGAAGGCAGCCAAGCCAGCGCTGGAAGAGAAGGAGAAGGAGCTGCAGGAACGCGGCGACTACAAGACACGCAAGAGCATGGGTGCGCAGCAGACCCAGCGCCTGAAGGCGCTCGACTTGGTGGACAAGTTGAGCGACAACATGCAGTTGCATACTGTTTGCATGGGCTGCGCAGGCTGGGGCATGGACGAGGACTGCGCGCGCTCGCGCGGGCTAGCCTTCCCCGACAAGCTGCGGCGGAGGGGCCCCGGCGCTACCTCGCGGGGCCACCAGTGGAAGTCCCGGCGCAAAGTGGACTGAAAGGCGCTGGTGACTGCGCAGAAGAGCTTCCCCGAGGACAAGCTGGCGCATGAATGGGCGGGCGAGGTGATGCGCCGAGGGCCGCGCGAAGTGGCCCGAGATCGGCTGCGCGTCGCGCTTCCGCCCGCGCCGCAAAGGCCCGTCGATGGCGGCGAAGCTCATCGTCAATGGCAAGTGGGGGGCATTTGCAGTTGAGGCTGCCGCGAACAACCGACAACGCCATCGAAGAGCACCGCCGCGAGTCCTTCGACGCAGCCCGGCAGCTGAGCCCAGATGAACTGCGTGAGTTGATCCCACCAGTTTTCCCGATGACGCACCAAGTAAAGGGCTGCGCACTGATTGCAAAGCGCCCTGTGGTCGCGCGGCGAAGCAGCAGGGGGGAAGCACTGCTCGACGCGCGGCCGGTGCGAGCTTGCGATGCGGACCGCGAAGAACGACCTAGGGAACCTGCGGGGCGCCATGGAAGCATCCGCGATGGGAGCCGCAGAACGCCGAGAAGCTCGAGAAGAAGGAGGTCGAGAGGCCCAAGCGTCGCCAGGAGCTGCGCGAGAACGCGGGCGCCCCGCTGGGCGGCGCCGAGGTTCTCGAGATGCGCGCTGTTTCAGGTGGGGCGGCTAGCTCCAGCGGCCGCGCGTGAGAGCGCCCACTTGCGCCTGCGGCCCGGCTTCGACGGGCGAGCTTGGAGGGGCCAGTGCTAGCGAGGGAATCTCTGAGTGCGGACCCCGATGAGCGATCCGTTGCGGCCGACCCGCAGTTAGGTGGCGCGCTGGTGATGGCATCTCGGAGCTCGGCCCAGGCGGGCGGCGCGGCGCCCCCCCCCCCGCGCCCCCTAGCCGCGACAGGCGAGCTCGGAGGGGCCGCGGCTAGCGATGGCATATCGGAGTGCAGGCCAGCGGAGCCTGCGCCGACATGGGCATTTTTCTTCGTGGTGCACCGGCAGGTGCGCATTCACATGGGCACCGCCGCTGGGGCGGCGACTGGGAAACGAGGGCCCCGCAGAGACCCCTCGAGAGTTGTCCTTCGGGCCCCCCCCCCGTAAAACGACAGTTGAACATGGCCAGTATCGCAGATGTGGGGGCCTCACACGCCGCGGCACTAAGGGCATCGGTCGCCCCTGCATGCGCGTCGACTGGGGGGGGGGCATTTCAGAGGTGCGCGCTGAGTGCTGCAGGGAAGTTGGATGCAGTGCGTTGCAGCGCAGGATCTGCGTCAGGCACTACGTTGCATGGCTTGGCCATCGACCAGCACATTCAAGAAGCGAAGTGAGTCTAGAGAGGGAGGGGCCGCATTCGATGCGCGGGCGCATCGAGACGCGGGTAGAATGGTAAGTTGGCCCCCGGCAGGAGCATGGGGGGCAAGGGGGCATCCTGCATTCCCCCCCTTCCCCTCTCCCCCCTGCGTCGCCGAGTGAGGTCGCGTCGTCGTCCCCCCCCCGGCTTGGGGGCCCTGCTCGCCCTGCGCCCCCCCCGTGGAATGGGCGCGCGCGAGAGGGCCGACGGCCGCTCCACCCGCGCTGACTCGTAGGGACTCGCACTCACCAGGTAATTAGCGAGCCCCATAGAGCATCGGCGTGCGCCCCCTGGCGGCCCCGCGAGAAGTCTGGGTCCGCGGCGCACTGCGCTCGCGGGGGATTCTGCAAGTCGCGCCCCGCAGCACCTGCGCGGGCGCCTCGACGCTGACCCCCTTTATGCGAATGTTCTATCCTGTCCTCCTCCCCCCCTCGCCCCCGCCCCCCCCCTCGCCCCCCTCTTCCCGCGGCCCCAGCAACTGTCCATCGAGGGCGGCGCGGGGCGCGAGCAGCTTGCCAGGCGCCCCCGAAATCCCCTGCGCCGGCACTTCGGCAGGGGAGGGGCGAGCTCTTCGCGCAGGGGGGGAAGCAGCCCAGCGCCCCTTTTGCGCTCGCTTTCTCCTCCTTGCCCCCCCGGCGCTTCCCCCCCCAAAATGCTGTTCCCCCCGCGTCCCCCCGCGACGGAATCGGCGCCCCCCCCCCCCCCGAGCCCCCCCCCCCCCCCCCCCCCCCCCACCCCCCCCCCCCCCCCTGAGATCCGACGCCGCGCAACAAAAAAATAGTGAGCAATCGCGAATGGACTCTTGGACCCCGTCGATCTGCGATGCCCCCTTGGCCCCGGGGCAAGGGGGCCCCCTCCGTCGTCTGAAGATGCAACCGCGAGTCCCGGCGCCCCTTCTACCCCCCATGCGCCCCATCAATTTTTTCTGCGCCGACGACGCCGTTGAATCCACGGCCTCTGGACCGTTGGTACGACGCAGAATGGGGCGCACGGGCCGCGCGCCCCGCGAAGTACTACAACGTCATTATTTGTGCTGCGCTGACATTTTTGCGCGCATGGCACCGACCTAACATGGCTTACAGAAGGCGCCCTCTTGGATTGGATCGTTTGCTATCCCTGCTGAACTACGAGTACGTGTGACGAACTGTCTGATGATGGCGAGACTTGCGCGACGGCTTCATTTGTATCCTGGGAGTGGCGATTTGTCAGGCCATGCTCCGTTGCTGCCCCAACAGGATTTTTCCCCTCCCGTGGCGCCCCCGCGGCGCGTGCGATGGAAAAAGGACTTGCTGGCGAGGGCGATTGCGATCTACCCCGCTGGTCGACGAGATGCAATGCCACCAATGGGGATCACCAGCCTCGAGACGCGCAAGACCAAACGAACTCGAGATCACGCCATTGCGGCGTCAAGAAGGCAGCGCGTCGACGAGCTGCCCCACCATGGCGTCTACCTGGCGAGCTGTGGTTTTTCATGTTGGCGCCGCATCGCTGCAGTTAAAGGAGTTTCTCAACCGCTGATCACGGACGACGACGTGAAAATTCAATATTTGCTGGTCAAGTTACCTCTTGGAGACGACGACGAGAGCGCCAGTGCCATGTTGCTGCGTTGCGCGACTTGACGTGCGCATATGGTTGTTGGTCGCATGAACGGTTGGATGAAGTACCTCCTGTGTTTTTTCTTTTTCTATTCGTTTTCTAGCGCCAATCTGCTGCAGAATCGGCGCAAGACACACGCGCGCACGTCTGACACCCTCATGGGCGAGGCTTTGGCGCCCGACGAGTTCAGGATGGAGCTTCAGAGGCCGATCGATTCATGGCGCCATCGTGCGGGCCAAGATCCACGACGAACTGGCGCTACGGCACAAGGAATGGTTTTGCGAAGGCGACGTTGGAGGAGGCGTGGGATCGTGTACGAATGCTACGCCACGCCATCTGCTCCGATCAGGGCAAGAAGAAAGCTCTCCTCTGCATCAAGAACGACCAGACGGTGCAGGAGACGATCCAGACAGCCGACTCCGCCGCGCGCTCGCTTCTTTGGAACACGAGTTCGCGCCGGCTGTTCATGTGAGCTGTGGCCGAGGTGGACTGGCATCGCGCGGTCGGGGCCGCGCCTGCAGGGGCCATGGCAGAAATGTCATAACATAGTCTGCCTGAGTGAGATGCACACTGACATGATCCTTGCACGCGTTTACCTATGCCACTGACGAATGTTGTTTCGTCACGACGGCCGACGGCGCAACCGCACTCACATTTTAGTTACTTGTGCTGGTGGGCGTGGGGCGGTCTTACTGGGACTGTGATGACACGTGCTCCCCCCCCGCCCCTCGCGCGTCGTCGTCCGCGCCCTGCTCGTGTGCGGCACCGTGCTGGCCGCCACCCAACTGCTGTTTGACTTCGTGTGCCTCGGCAACTTCCAGGCTTGAGGTTGCTGCTGCCGCCTTGTCGCTTCCTTGTTTGTATATACTATATACAGTCAGCTAGTACATCCGCATCCGTGTAGCGCGTCGTACCCCGACTCGTCGGTGCGACGGTTCCCCAGGGCCTGTCCTAGGCCTGTTGGTGCCTGTCTAGGCCCTCTTGTTTTTTGTTTTAACCCAGCTTCGGCTGGCTGCCGTTTCAAATCGCCGAAGTTTTTCGCTGATCCGGTGGATGCGCACTTACAGTGTGTTTACGTTTTAGTTTTTGTCGAGGGCCTGCACGGGCCTGCCCCGCCACGGGCTCGAGGGAAACGGGGGGCACGGCGTGCCTCTATGCCGCGTTATTATGTTTCGTATTATTATTGTTCGTAGTATTATTGTTATTCGTATTATTATTAGTACTATTATCATTATCATTATTTTTAGTAGCATCAGTATTGTAAGTGTTATCATTAGTGTTTAAGAATTCAGATCCTTATTATTACTACTAATTCTATTATGCTAACGATTAGTATTACTCTTTCTTCTCTCCTTCATCCTCCGCCCTCCTCCTCCCTCCCCCTCCTCGCCCTACATTCTTGGGCGAAATTTGTCCCGAATATGATGTCGATGACGATGAGAGTCTGGCGCCTCGTCCTTTCGTGACTTCCATCTCGGGGTCGAAATTTCGAGCGTCGACTGCGGCCTGAGCAACCACGCGAAGGCCCGCGCCGCTGCGTTGGACAGGCTCAACTTGCGAACTCGCAAGCCCCGCTCGCGCCGTTGCGTGGAGGAGGAGGAGGAGGAGGAGGAGGAGGAGGAGGAGGAGGAGGAGGAGAGCGAGGAGGAGGAGGAGGAGAGGATGGGGAGGTGGAGGAGGAGGAGGAGGAGGAGGAGGAGGAGGAGGTGAGGACGGGCACGATGAGGAGGTGGAGGAGGAGGAGGAGGGGAGGAAGAGGAGGAGGAGGGGAGGAGGAGGAGGAGGAGGAGGAGGACGGGCAGGAAGAGGAGGTGGAGGAGGAGGAGGAGGAGGAGGAGGAGGAGGAGGAGGAGGAGGAGGAGGAGGCCGCGCCGCTGCTCCTCGCCTGGTCCTCCTGGGGCCGGCCGCGGCACACCTCCCCTGCACGCCTCTCGAGGTTGCCAGGGCCGCCGCCGCCAAGGCGGGGCCGAAGGTGAACCCGTTCGCGGCCAACGTGAAGGAGAAGGCTCCCCAGACATGATCGCATCGTTTAAAAATCAAGGCGGCGAGCTTTTCGCCATTTTGGGCCCCTGGGGGCCGTCGCTGGGGCCACTCGGACCGTCAAAAAACGACTCAGGATGAAAAACCGGCCCCGGGGAAAGGGTTTGGACTCGCCGCATTGAACAAATCAGGGGAGGGAGAGAGAGAGAGAGAGAGAGGGAGAGATAGAGAAAACAACAAATAACAGAAAGAGAGAGAGAGAGAGGGCGAGATGGGGAAAGGCCCAGACCTTAGGCGCCTTGACCCTTGACGCGCCCGTTTTGAAAAAAAAACGCGCACCGTGCCTACAGCGCCTGTGTCGCTGCGTTGTCGGTTGTTGGCCTGGCACCATTGGCCCATGCTCTGGCAGACGCATCGCTCCATATGCCTCCGCCTTCCGCCTGCGCATGGAGCTCTGCACCCACGCGCCGCGTGCTCTGCGCGTTGCGCATCGGGGCAGCCGCGACCCCGACTTCAGGGGAACGAGAAATGACATAAACAGGCAAACTCGGAGGTCCACGCTCATTTCTCCGATTGGCGTTGGACCCCCCTCCCTGGCGCGCGGAGCGCGCCAGGGGCGGCGCCGGAGGCGCCGCCAGGGCGGTCCAGCGCCGATCCTGGAGAAATCCGCGCGTACCTCCGAGTTTTTATGCCTGTATCCTTGTTCGTTCCCTTGGGCGTGCTCGCGGCGTGGCCAAATCTCGACGGGAGCTTTTCGTTGCCGCTCGCGGGCCCCCGGGGGGCCCTTCGCCGAGCCCCCGGCGGGGACCGCTGCAGAGGAACGGCTCGGGATGGAAGGCTGGCCCCCGGGCGGCGAAGGGTCGGGGGTTTTCAGGGGTCCCGCGTGGAAACATCAGGGCGTCGCAAGCATCGGGAGGAAGGGAGAGCGGAGAGAGCAGAGAGAGAGAGAGAGAGACAGGGAGAACGAAAGAGAGAGAGAGAGAGAGAGAAAACAAAAAACGAGACATACACCCTACACATATACATGTACATATATACATATATATATATATACATACATACATACATACACACACATACATACATACATACATACATACACACACATACATACATACATACATACATACATACATACATACGTACGTACGTACGTACATACATACATACATGCATGCATACATATGTGTGTAGAGAGATAATAATACGAGACGGAAGGAGACAGAGAGAGATCCATAACAGTGAACATATGAAGAGAGAGAGAGAGAGAGAACAAAAAAAAAGAGGAAGAGAGAGAGAGAGAGAAACACAAACAACAACATATAGAGTGATATGCAGGAGGAGGGGAGGGAGAAACAGAGAGAGAGAGAGAAGCAGGAAAGAGAGAGAGAGAGAGAGGAAAAAAGAAAGGAGCACATATACCCGTGAAAGAATGTATGACGCAACCAACACGGGAATTGAAACCGAAACGCTGTTGAAACAATGCGGTCGGGGCCCGACGCATTGCTTGGCATGCGCCTGTCAACGCTGTGGAACAGTATCGCGCATTCGCTGCGAAGTGTATGGCAAGCGTCTCACGTGGGAAACAAGGCCGTAAGGCGTAAATTGGGACCGCCCACAACTGCGACCCAACCAGGGATCAAGAAGGAAGCGCACCGGGCATTAAGTTACATACGCCTCTCAATGTTGCCACCGAGCGCGAGCACTTGTCGAAGCTGTATCGATAGCTCGACCATGGTGCACACTTGCGCACAATTCCAACATTGAGGGCGGGTACTACCCAATGATCCTTTTGTGGGCGCCGTCCTTTGCTTATCCTTCAGTATGATCAGATCGTACATGTGTTAGCACTTTCTCCCCGGCTGCGCATACGCTTCCACAATGGTGAGAACAACAAAGAGAACGAGACGAAGAGTGAGAGAGAGAGAGAAAGCAAAAACGTGGGACAGAGGGAGAGAGAGGCATATATAGTACGAACATGACGAGGAGGACGAGGGGGAGGTGTAGGATGAGGGGGAGGAACATGAGCAGGACGGCGAGGGGGGTGCCTGGAGGTCTGGTGTGTCCCTCCGCTCCCATGGGTTTCCCGCATGCCTGTTCCCAGCCATCCTGTGGTTCTGGGTCTTCGCTCTGAATCCGCAGCTCGCCTCGCCCCCTTCTTCTCCTCCTCTCTCCTCGCAGCCCTGCCTCCGCCGTTCGCAGGTCCTTCCCGGCACACGCACGCCTCACGCGCTGCACTGCCCCGTCGGAAGCGCCCCGAAGACACCAGCGGCACTGTCCGCAGGCAGTTCCGCTGGCTATGTCCGGCGCATCCCTCACACGTTTCATGGCCCTTATATGGGAGGGGAGGGCAGGGTCCACACTCAGGTCCACCCCCCATTTTGGCGCACCCCCCGTACTGCGAGCGGGCCCAGAAAGAGCTCCACCGAAAGTGCCAATGTTAGGGTCCGCACGCCATTTCGCCTACCAGTCCTGCACGCCCGTTATTCGCTTCGTGGCCCTGTTGGGAGTTCCGCCGAAAGCACCACTGGCAGGGTCCTCCTCCTGCTCCCGTTTCCTCCTCCCGCTCCCTCCTCCTTCTCTCCACACCCTCGCACCTGCTCTCCCGCGTGTCCCTGTTTCGGCATACCCGTCACACGGTTCGTTTCCTCGTACGGAGCTGCACCGACGGTCCCAGTCGCAGGGTTCGCAAGGCGGCGCCGCCCGTTTCGGCACATCCCTCACACCCTCCGTAGCTCTATAGGGGATCCCATTGAGAGCCTTAGAGGGAGGGTTCACATGCCCGCACCTTTCGGCACACACTTCACACGGATCGTGCCCCCACAAGGAGCTCCACCGACTGCCCCAGTCCGCATGCAGTTCCCACCCCCATTTCGGCGCACCCTCACACGTTTCGCGGCCCCAAAGAAAGTTCCACCGAGGGCGGACTGGCAGGGTCCGCGCGCGGTTCCACCCCCCATTTCGGCACACACCCCGCATGCCTCGGGCCGGACCGATCCGTGCTGGCCCCGGGGCCCGCAGCGGGGCGCAAGCGCCAGGTGCGAGAGAATGGCGGTGCCAGGATCTCAGGGGAGGTCACTCTTGCGCGGGGCCACTCGTGGCGTGCACCTCAGCGCTCGCAGGGGGGCGCGAGAGACGCCTGGGCAGGCAAAGCTGGCCCCCGCCCGCCAAGCGCCGTGCTTCCCCAAGAGGACGCGAGGTTCACCTGCTCGGACTCGCCGCCGTCGCCCCCCTTCCGGGGGGGGCGGGCGGGGGCCTCGCTGCGCAGGAGAAGCGGAGGCTGAACCCGCTGCTGCAGGCGGGTCCGCCGCGGCGACGCACTCTTCGCTCGGCCGCCAGGCAAGCGCGTAGCGGAGCCAGGGGCAGGGGGTTTGAGTAGTAGTAGTAGTAGTAGTAGTAGTAGTAGTAGTAGTAGTAGGAGTAGTAGGTAGGAGTAGGAGTAGGAGTAGGAGTAGGAGTAGGAGTAGGAGTAGGAGTAGGAGTAGGTAGGAGTAGGAGTAGGAGTAGGAGTAGGAGTAGGAGTAGGAGTAGGAGTAGGAGTAGGAGTAGGAGGAGGAGGAGGAGGAGGAGGAGGAGGAGGAGGAGGAGGACGAGAAGGAGGCCTGAGGGTGTGGAGAAGGGGGAGGGGGCAGAGGAGGAGGAGGAGGAGGAGGAGGAGGCGGAGGAGAAGGTGGAGGAGGAGGGGAAGGAAGAGAGCAAGAGAAGGGGGGAGGGAGAGGGGGACAAGGGGGTCGCTACACATTGGTCTGTTTCGCGGGAGTCGTGACTCACCGTGAGATGAGTTTCGCCAGCCTCCCCTTTGGCGGCCTCACCCTCTTCTCTCCTACATCCTCTCTCTCCTCTCCCTCCTTGTCCGTCTATTTCTCCTCCTCGCATCCTTATTGTCTACTTTGCCACCTACTCCTGCTTTGGCACCTAGCTCCCCGAGTAGCGATCCCATCCAGGAGGATCCATCCTAACTTGTGAAAGAGCCATCTGAAGGCGAAGCTTTTGCTTTCAACCATGGACGGTGTGGCGTCGACGCTGCGCAATGCGTGGTAGGAGTGGGGCGGGGCGCACACGCCCCACGAAAGGGCGAAATGTCGCTCTCGCCTGGGCGCCGCGCCCAGTGCTCCCGAGAATCGCGCGGATTGCATCTTTTTCCCACGCCAAGTCGTCGACGCGCGCGCGGACGGAGGTGTCGCTCTCGCTGTGGCGCCGCGCAGCCTCCGCCCGAGAGCGGCGCTCCCCACCTCGGCTTCGGCAGACACCCGTCAGCCACCCGCCGGCTCGTGCGGGGCCGTGGGCGAGCGGGCGAGCCTTGCCGCCCTCGCCCTTAAGAAGCTCCGCGCGGGCGAGGGCGCTTGGGCCGGTCCGCCGCACTGGCGCGAGGGAGCGGCAGCGGCGGCGGCCGCCGGGCGAGAGCGGGCGCCTCGGCCCGAGCGCCCTCTCGCCCGAGCGCCGCGGAGCGAGAGTGCGCGAGAGTGGCAGCGCGGTCTCGGCGCGGCGCACGCGTCGTCCTCGCCGCGCTCGCCGGGAACGCCTGGCCGCTCCCGCCCCCCTCTGCGCGTCTCGGGTCGTGTCTCTCGCTGCGCCACTGTGTCGTCGGAGGCGGGGGCCGCGCGCGAGCGCCTTCCGAGTGCTAGGTTGGAACGCGCTCCCATTTCAGTGCAGTGCCGTTTTTAATACGTGCTCTGCGTGCGGATCATTTATAAATTATCCTGGCGAAGGACCCAACCAGATACAGTTGCGAGTGCCGCAATTGTGAGTATCTTCTTCGATGGCGCTGTAGGGGTGTGCGGAAATCTGTGCGGTGGCCACGAAACGTGTGAGGGGTGTGCCGAAATCTGTGCGGTGGGCGCATGGGAGCGCAGCCACTGGGGCCTTCGCTGGAGCTCCCTATGGGGCCACGAAACGTGTGAGGGGTGTGCCGAAGTGGGCGCGGCGGGCGCATGGGAGCGCAGCCACTGGGGACTTCGCTGGAGCTCCCTATGGGGCCACGAAACGTGTGAGGGGTGTGCCGAAATGGGTGCGGTGGGCGCATGGGAGCGCAGCCACTGGGGCCTTCGGTGGAGCTCCCTATGGGGCCACGAAACGTGTGAGGGGTGTGCCGAAGTGGGCGCGGTGGGCGCATGGGAGCGCAGCCACTGGGGACTTCGCTGGAGCTCCCTATGGGGCCACGAAACGTGTGAGGGGTGTGCCGAAATGGGTGCGGTGGGCGCATGGGAGCGCAGCCACATGATGATGATGATGATGATGATGATGATGATGATGATGATGATGATGATGATGATGATGATGATGATGATGATGATGATGATGATGATGATGATGATGATGATGATGATGATGATGATGATGATGGCAGGAGGGAGGGGGCAGCGGGAGGAGGAGTGAACGCGGGGCGCTGTCTCTTCAAAACGAGGACCCAACACCACAGGATGGTTGGGAAAAATACAAGGATTTAGCATTGAACACAACGATCAGTTCATGCATACATTTGTTCATAAATTAGTCATGTATTAAAATCCGATAGTAAAACAAAACAAAACATGTATTAACAACGGCACTGGACCGTTTTGCGCCACAGTTCATCGGTGTGTTATGGGAGGCAGGGTGGGGACGGGCGGGGGGCCCGCTGACTCTCGTACGACCAGGCGAGCTTGACTCCTCCTACTCCCCTTCGCCCCCCCCCTTCCTCCAGCGGGAGGCTGTTGCCTCCTTCTTCTTCGTCTTCTTCTTTTTCTTCTCCTCCTCCTCCTCCTCCTCCTCTCCTCCTCCGTCCTCCTCCCTCCTTTCCCTCCTTCTCCCTCCTCCTTCCCCTCCTCTTCCATCCTTTTTCCCTTGTTCCTTTCTAGTACTACTCAAGTTCTGCCACTTAGCCGGCCACTAGCGACTGGATCTGGGCGGCGCTACAGCGATAGCCCCACTGGGAAAAAGAGCCGCCCTCGCTCTGCAGAGTGGTAACACGAATGCGCCAGGCGCCCATGCAAGAGTTCCACTTCGAAACCGACCCGCACTTCCATCAGTTCAATTGCTACGATTTTTTCGGGCGAGTGTGTGCAGTGCGAAGGTGAGAAATACAGCTTGGCAGTTGCCCCCTCAATCCTCGACGTCGTTACACACTGTAGGACGAATGTGCGCGGCGTCAAGGCAATAACCACATTGTGACAAGCCCGCGGCTCCATCTTCGAAGCTGCGGCACACTTTTAAGACGAGTTTGCGTGGCGCTAAGGCACGGCGAGAGCTACATGTTGTGCATTGTGCCCGCTCCGTCTGCAACTATGTTGCAATAGTTTAGACGATTGTGTACGGGGCGAAGGCGAGAAAACTACTTTGAAGAGGAACCGCCCTCTATCCGTTAAAAAGTTGCAGTCTTTGAAGGTGAATGCGCGCGGCGCTAAGGCGAGAGCCCCACTTTGAAAACGAACCGCCTTCATCTTCGAGGCTGCGCTGAACTTTCAAAGACCAGTGCGCGCGGCGCCAATGCGAGTGCCGCATTGTGAACACGACATACCTCTTTTCTCGAAGTTGCGGCACATTCTAAAGGCGACTTTGCGTTGCGCTAAAGCAAGGCGTGAACCTCATTTTGAACATTTCGCCCGCTCCGTCTGCGAAGCTGTTGTCAGCTTTTAAGACGAAGATGCGCGGGGCGTAGGCGAAAGCCCCGATTTCAAACGGAACTGCCCTCTTCCTTTCAAGCTGCTGCAGGCTTCTAAGACGAACGCGCGGGGCGGTAAGGCCAGAGATCAGCTCCCACTACCCGGCCTCCATCCGCAACGCTGTTGAACATTCCAAGCCTCATGATCGTAATTGGTGAGGACGTCTCAGGCGAAACGCCCGGCCAGCCCTACCGACACAAGTGGGGGTGCGACAGGGAGGAATTATGCAATGTGAAGGGGGAAAGATGGAGAAGGACGAGG